TGGGGGGGGAGCTATGGGGCTGGCTTGGGGTCTGGCCTTGGAGCCGGCTTTGGAGCTGGCTTTGTAGGTGGCTTTGGAGGCGGCGATGGCATCCTCCAAGCTGGCGAGAAGGAGACGATGCAGAACCTCAACGACCGCCTGGCTGTCTACCTGGACAAAGTGCGTGCCCTGGAGGAGGCCAACACTGACCTGGAGGTCAAGATCAGGGAATGGTACAAGAAGCAGGCACCTGGTCCTGACCGTGACTACAGCCCCTACTACAGGACCATCGAGGAGCTCAGGAACAAGGTAGGATGCTGTGATTACCAAGACACCTTCATTAAAGTCACTTTTCAAAAGATGACCCTGTTCCTAAAAGCTGAAGGGAAGAATAGTAACAAGTGACAGATAATTGGCCTGAGATGGGGAAAACAGAAAGAGCACAGCTGGAAATAATAGTCTTGGGCGACATAGTTTAGTGTGTGGTGCCCCTGCTCATGGCAGGGGGGGTGGAACTAGATGATCTTAAGGTCCTTTCCAACCCTAACAATTCTATTCTATGATTCTATAATTTACGATCAGCAGTTTCTTGATCATGTCCTCCAGAAGGCACAAAGGTAGGGTTTCTACTGACTGTTTTAGTGCAGGGAGAAAGATGGGCAGGAAAGCAGGAGTCAGGAAAGCAGGAGGAGGCTCTCAGTCATTGGTTCAGGTTACACGATGCTCCAGGGTGCATGCTGCCACAACACTCATTTCCTGCCTTCCCTGGATGCTACACTAAGTATGTGCTCCCTTCGCCAGGCTCCTGATTAAGCACTCTGCAGGCAGGGACATGTTATCTCTTTGGCAGAAGTTCCCTACTGAATGATATGCAAATGGAGATGCCAGGTTGTTCTCATAAGCATCATACAAAGCAGATCTTTTCAAGCCTGTTAGGAGGCTCAAGGTAGAGGTTAATAAAGAAAGAAGCTGCACTGTGGGATGGTTGCACTTTGAGAGGTGCAAACAGAGAATCGTGAAATCCAGGAGTCAGAACATACTGGGCTGTGGTAGGTGACTTCAGAGGTGCTGAATCGAGTGCGTGCCCTGCTCTAAATGCAGTAGACAAAATCATAGCCAAGCTTGTTTCTTTACTCTTAGCAGCTCTCTGGCTGATTTTAGGCAAAAGTCCTTGAACAAAAGCACCAGAATCCTCCCTCCTACTCTGTCACCACTGTCCTTCGTCTGCCCTCATTACTCATCATGAGCTGATTACCTGGTCCTTCACCACTGCCTACATGAGGTGACAGCATCCTTAGTAAGCTCAGGTTCCACAGGAGGGGATGGAGGTGTGGGCTTGGGTAATGACTATACCTGCTCTGTGAGAGTAAATGCCAGGGAAACGGGGCTGACAGGCCCAGGGGTCAAGCCCTGGGGAAATCCCATTCCTGGAATTTTTCAGCTCTTTAACCCTTCTGTGGGGTTTCACCTTGAGGTGAAGGGCTCTTGCCTGGATGCACAAAGCTCCTCCTCAAATTCCAGCTTGTCAGGAGTGCTCTGATCTGGAGCACAGAAACATGGAGGCAGAAGCTGTCTCCAGATCTGAGCAGTCAGACGAAGGCAGACCCTTCCCTCCCCTCCCGCACCACTGGGGGAAATTACCATGTCACTATTCCCAGATTACTGCTTGGACATTCCCTGAAGCACCAGAACTCAGTGAGAGCTTTTCATTAGCTTGTGGCTACATAAATTACTGCTCATTAAATGGCCAATCATTTTCAAAATCCCAGAACAAATATTTTCACCTCAGGTGTAGTTACGAAAGCAGAACAACGCAGGCACCAGACACTCCTTCCTCAGCCCTTTCTTCCTCCTCGGCTGGGCTGTTCATTGCCAGACAAAGCCCAGGGTGCTGCCAGGACTCCAAGCATCATGTTAGTGCCTAGAGGTGCCACTCTGACACAGGGCAACAGGTCGTGATGTGCCCATGCCAGTGTCTTCACACCAAATCGGTGCAGTGGGAGACTGAGCATGAGCATCCTGCCTCTATCCTTGCAGAGTCCCTGTGGAAGCCCAGCCCAGCCCAGCGGGCAGGAGGTTCAGTGCTGCTCCAGTCCTGCTCCTGAACAGGAACACAGGCAGCAGCATGCCATTTTTTGGAACTACTTTTTCACTCTTTGATTTCTTTTGTGCCCTGTCAGATTCTTGCCGCAACTGTTGAAAATGCCAACATCGTCTTACAGATTGACAATGCCAGGCTGGCAGCTGATGACTTCAGAACCAAGTAAGTCCAATGCCTTGGAGAGCTCTTACGAGAAGGAAGGAGAAGCCAGCCTGTTTAAGGCTTTTCTTTGCTTTCTGTAACTGAAGTTGCTCCAACCAGGTCACTTCTCACTAAAAGTGTGTCCTTTGGGAAGTGTACGCATGTCCCTGGACACAGCATTGTCCCGACATTCCTGCACTGCGGAGAGCTGTGCATGCATGTTTAGGAAAAGATGCTTGGCAGAAATACACCACCTGGGGAAGGAAACAAAAAGGAAAATCCCTTATCAGCTGGGCTGGGGTGCAAGTGTGTGTGTGTCCCCACAGGTTTGAGACGGAGCAGGCTCTGCGCCTGAGCGTGGAGGCAGACATCAACGGCCTGCGCAGGGTCCTGGACGAGCTGACCCTGGCCAGAGCCGACCTGGAGATGCAGATTGAAAACCTAAAGGAAGAGTTGGCCTACCTCAAGAAGAACCACGAGGAGGTGAGCACAGAGCCAGGCTCAAACTAATACCTACAAAATGTACCTTGTGTCCAATGGAAAGGGGTCAAGGCAAAGTGCAGGAGTATCTCTGCAGCCAGGGCTGTCAGGAGATACTCCAGTGAGAGAGGGGGAGGAAAACAATCCTTTCAGACCCCTCCAGGAGGGGTCTGTGCACCGGGTGCAACCAAGACATTTGATATGATGAGAATATACCAATTGTGCTCTGACATGTACCCCATGTGTCTTTTGTGCCAGGAGATGAATGCCCTGCGC